GCACACTAGGGTACAGATAGACAGGCAGCATTTAGACATACATTGCCAGTGCTTGAACAAAGTCAAAACAGTGAATCACTTGTAGATCTGAAAAGTAAAATGAACCCAACATACTTTTTCTAGAGATTTGCTATGAGGTTTCTATCATTGACAGTTGTAGTCCAGAGCACTCGCAGGAAGACTTTTTGCTCCCTTGTGCTGTTGTCAGCTGTGATCACTGTGTCTTGGTTACGGGGCTCAGCTATGATGGGCTCATCTTAGAAAAACTCATCCTACAGGCTCAGGTTGAAAGCTGCTGAAAACTGTCTCTCTGAGCTAGCTATGGTAAGGGTGCTGCTAGCAGTCTGCAGCAGCAGCCCTGAATCAGATGCTCATTAAAAAGCGTAGGCTGATAAAAAGTGGTGAATATAAACTCAGACTTAACATCCAATCATGAAGCAAAACATACCAGTTTATTACTGTTTGTTCTGGGTAAAATGAAAGCATGGAGTCTCGATTCATGCAAGGAAAATGTGGTCACTGAAAATTACCTTTTTTTTTTTCAGATTAAGCCAGGAAGAAAAAAAAAAAAGCCTTTTGAGTATGTGGTGCCAGAAGCTAGATGTACACCAATGACTGCAAGTAAATTTAGATTTAAAGATAAAACTCTGCTGTAACCAAACCATTTATACACTGCAACATGGGACTAGCATATAGGCGTTAAAGTTGACCCCACCCTAACACGATTGCTTGAGGCAAGGCTTTCAGATGCCAGGTACAAAACTTACAGCCTCTGGAGAAGAGGTGGAAAATGCCTTATCACATCCTCCTCTGTCCCGGGTTGCTCTGGGAGTTTGAAGGACTTCAGGACTAACTCAGCAGACCTGGAACCTCTTTGATGTACAGAGCCTCCATTGCCTATGAGCCGTATGTTGATTTCCCACTGCCAGCCTACACGCCCCTAACTTCAGCTGTGCCTTTGGCACCGCTTACAAGGCAGCTTCTTGCCTCAGGTTCAGCACCAGAAGAAAGCTGCTGTTGAGCTAAAGTCTGTTAGGTGGGTGTTTCAGAGTGAGACTTTTCCCTAATATTCTAAAAAATGATTGAGGGTTTTCTGATAGATGCACTTAAATTTATGTCAGATCCTATTTGACTTGACAAATCCTATTTTACTGTAATTTTACATTTTTTCCAAAGCAAAATAAATTACTTGTAAGAATTGCATTTTAGTACAAAGGGAAAGCTATATTATGTATTAGGCATGGTGAATCTTCCTGAAAAAAAGTAATTTTGCACAGCTAGATCTGTGTTTCCATCTGGGATGGAAAGGATTAAAACTAACTAGAACTATGTCTATTTCTGAAAACAAAAAAATAGTCATCTTTTCATGTGACAGTCTTTGTGGACTTGTTTTGATCCAAAACTTCATCATTTTAATGTTTTTCTTTTTTTCTGAAAGAAAACACAAAACTAATGACACTCACATCAGCGTTCAATGCACAGATTTATGTGGCAGAGAATGTATGAAAATGGGTTTCATCCATCCACTTGTTCATACAAAACCCTTTTGCCTGTAGAGTAAGAAGTTTTAATAAAAAGTTTGAGACTCCTTGAAGCTGTCACTCAGGAAAAACCTTTCTAATGCTTGCTGGAACCATCCAGACAAAATTGAAAGAAGGCTGTGTTTAAAGCTTTCACTGCCTCTGTTTTACTTGCACTTTAACAATAATCAGCTCTCTTGAGGTCAGGAGGGCTTCTTTGATGATGGATTTGCTTCTTCAATTTCAACTTTTCAAAAAACTGTGCAGCAGCACATTTGACCTATGTGAAGATCCGTGTAAGTCTGGTACTTTAAAAACAGGAAGATGAAAGACAAGAAGAGAAATTTCTCGAAATCTTGCCTTTGCTAACCTTACTCCAAATGGGTAAGACAGGGAAGACAAAAAGTGCAGTCTCTGTGCTGTACAAAAGACACTGTTACTCATCTTTGCTAAATTTGTGCTTTGCCTCTCATTTCTCATTGTCACAGCTGCTTGCTCTCAGCATGGTATTGGTGGATGCCACATGCAGCATGGCATAGTAATAATGAGAAATAAGCTACCAGGGGAAAATTATTCAAAATCAGTTTGCAAATGAGGTGGTGAATGTAGAGGGTGACTTGGAGGTGGGGGTTTCACAGGAAAAGGCCAATTCTTTTTTCCTTCTCAGAGCTGTGAAACATTCAAGTGCCAAAGTCCTGGTGTTGAAGGGACTTTCCCAGTAGTAGCACAGAAATTTCACTCTCCCTTTACTTCCTTTCCCAGTGACTGCGTCCTCCCTCTGTCCCTAATCCCCCGGAGTTCCCACCGCCAAAACACCTGTGCACAATTCTTGCTCCCCATAAGGAACAAGAGTTTTGTCACCCACTCCCACATAACTGGAACTGCAACCCAAGGAACAGCCCAGCGCAGCGCTTTTCCTGCCACATTTTTGTCCTTTTCCCCTCCACAGAGGAAAACTAGTCAGTACCTGTGGTTACCCAAAGGGTTTGTATTTGACTAATCAAATCTCTTGCAACCAGAGAAGTCAGAACCATGAATTGTTTAATAAGGCTAAGAAATAATTATTGGCTAATGGCCTAATATAACGTAAAATAAACCCATTAACTGCTGGCTTACAAAATATCCTGGCGTCTGTGTATGCTGAGGCAGAACACAGTTGTCAGAGGACTTAATTTCTTTCCTTCATCTACAGAAAGAGCCATTAGGACCAGCCCTAACCATGATGATATACTGACCTCTGTCCCTGCCAAGCATTGTTTCTATATGCTAAAGGGACACTTGGTAATTGTCTCCTAATAATATTCCAGGCAACGTGCTTTAAACTACTTAGTACAGAGGCTGTTGTTGCTGACAAAGGACACACAAAAGACATCCCTATCACATGAAAAACATTGTGCGGAAATATAATTTTTGAACTGATGTTGTGGAAAGGGTTTAAAACATCCATGCAGGTAGTCATGATGGCCACATATCCTTTCTCTGCTTTAATCAAACATTCCTTGTAAGATCTTCAAGAAAATACAGCTGAAACAATCACCCCGGATTGTTTGATGAAAATATTACATTCTCATAAAACATACAATCCCTCTCTTAAATATGCTTACTGCTTTAGACAGTATTTCCATGAGAGAGGTGGTCTGGATTACCTTTATTTGAAACTGTTCAAGACAAAGGAATAACACAAGCTAATCACGGGGTTTCTTCTAGGTCCAACCTGATCTCCTCAGCATTTTTAGGAGAGATCCTCATTCTTCTCAGGCACCAAGAGCAGACCAAGATCCAACTTGTCTGTCAGCACCCTGAAGGAAGGGCTGGATCTTGCTGGGTGCTGCGCTTTCCCAAATGCTGTTGGTTCAGTGAGCCAGGAGTAGTCGTCAAGATCTTACTGGGTTGATCTTAAATTGGACCAAGTTGTCTGCTTCTAGGGGGAAGCTGAGTTAATCGCTAACTCCCAGAGCATTTGGAGAGCCTATGGGAGGCTGGCAGAGCAGACAAGGTCACACAGCATTCAGCTGAGCCTGGCTTAGAGTTTGCAGGCAGAAAAAATTACCCCTGGCTCACCAGTGCTAAACATGACTATCCTGTTGAATACTTCTCTCCCACTAATAATGCCAGTCTTACTTTTTATCCTCAGTGTGGAATCAAGTTTCTTTTTGGAAGCTTATTTTACAGTTCAATGTGTTTTTAGCAATACTATTTCTAGTTACAATCTAGAGATGATGTTTTCTTTCATTCTGATTAATCTGTTAAATAAATATGCAAATATATCAAGTGCTCTATAGAAAAAAATACGTATACACAACAAACAACCCCTCAAATAATAAAACCAAGATTAATAAAAATATATACTATATTACACATATGAAATGGCCATCTAGTTTTGAAACTATAATGAAACTTAATTACACATGAATCACATGACATAATCTAAAAAGAATCAGCATATATAAAATAATGGCATTGCCTCTGTAAAGAGAACTTGAGCATCTCCCTATTTAAAAATACAAAAAGAAGTCAACCAATGTTGTCTGTGCATTTATAGCTACTGAACATTAGATAAATGTTTGTAGATTTCTCCATTAAACATCTGAATAGGGAGATGAGTAACATGCCACAGTCTTTTTCCTTTTTTTAAAGAAAAATTTAGCCTTCAAGATAATGAAGTTTCTCCTTTTGATTGAGACCTATATTCAATTAGGATTTAAAGAGAGGAATAATTCTTACTCTGGATCTCCATACTTAGTGAAATGAGTACATAACACCAGTTTAAACACAGCCTTCAGCAGATCATTTTGATTTATAATGACAAATAGAAAAGCTTGCTTAAAAATATTACAGGAATTAAACAAAAATCAATGCACAGAGTCAACAGACTTCCCACTACACAGTTCGGTATTAAAATACATGAAAGGACTGAGAAGTTTGACAGTGGACCACAAGTACTGATAGTGTAAATCATCTTGACCCCATTAGCTTCAGCTTGTTTGAACATCTTTGGACCACAAGCTGTGTGACTGTTCATAGATGAAACATGCTGACCTACATAAAGTCAGAAAACATCCTATCTGTACTTTAAAATCACACTTCATCTTGGGACCTTTTGCCCAGGCATAAATTGCCCCTGAGGAGATCTGCCTGCAGATACCAGGGCACTGAGCAACTCGATGAAACACATGGAAACTGCTGGAGAGCTGTGACTGAGAAATATAATCAACTGTCTTGTGCTTTATGTTCCAGTAAAGATCAGTGCTAGCTAATGTTAGTATTTAGCCAGCTGAATGCTCATCCTCCAAATTGCTTCAGATGGAGAACATAAAATAACATGCTTTAGCAGAACAGTTTCAAAGACAGGTGCTATGGTCAGTGAACAGCAACACTTGAATAACCCTGCTACAGGACATTCCCCATCCCCCAACTGACACAGACCACTGGTTGCAATTACCTTAGATTGTTTTTACTTGCATTTTTTTGAGGCAGACCAATTAGAAGTTATCATTTTCCCTCCATTCCAATACGCTTTCTTAAAAATGGCACAGACCACTGGTAGTAAATAATTTTCTTTCTGACAATTCATATCAACATAATGCACAGCATCATAGCTTAATACAAATACTTGACATAACAGACACATAAGGACAAAACAAAAGCATGTAACAATGCAGCAGCAGCTACTTTACTATATTACATGGCTGGGAGAGCTTCCTTTAATTTTCTTTGATCTTTTCTGTAGAATTTGAACTTCTGGTACCAATAAGCAAGTAATGTTTCGTCTGGTATTTTTAAAAAGCAGAGGGAAAAACGTGGATGAAATAGAATTCAGAGGAAGTGAACGAGATCACAGAAAGGCAACTTTTAAAATATCAGCAAACTGGTGTAACATAATAGTTATAGGGGAAACAAGTTTTACTAGGCTCAGCATCTCCTAAGTAAAATGGAGCAGAAGAAGATAGAGACCTATTTTTCAGGAATAAAATACTGTCATCTTCCCTAATGATCTCCAATTGCTTGATTTGTGCATGTGATAGAGCTGGGGTCATTCTGTTTTATTCATTATCCTAACTAACAGACTCATTAAAAACATGCACAAACTGTGACCAATGAGGGAGAGAGGGCGAAGAGCAATGAACACCTCAAAAACTCAAGGATAACTGTACAGATTGTTAGGATAATAAAGTATAGAAGTTTATTATCTATCAGCTCATGTTTTCATCTCTTTATTCCCCCTCCCAAGAAGACTTGCTGTATGCCCATAGACATTTAAAAATAGAGATAAATAAATTTTGTCCTTCTGGGTTCCCCTCATTGCAGACCAAGCTGTAAATCATTATAATATGTCACTTTTTGTTTATACTGGCAGACTCTGAATGCACCTACTGCTCTTCCTGGCTGGAAGGCATTTCTGAAGGATTCTGATGTTTTAGACATTGCATAGGAGGCCTTTTTGGTTTAAACTTGATTTTTGCTCTTGACATTTGTTCCTCACTTACTCTAGTACCATGGCAAGTTTAGTACCTTAAATGCCTGTAAGATGGAGTGACTGGATACTTCTGTAGCTCCGCACAGCGAAGACCCTCCATCTGGGGAACAATGATGTAAACTTGTATCCTTCCTGACACCCAGGACACAGTGAGTGTCCCCTGTGTAGGAACTGGGAACTGAAAACATTATGCAACTCGTGGGGGCTTATTGCAGAAAGCAAATGTCAATTTTGTAACTCAGACATCATTTTAAAGTGATTAAAAATGAATAAAACTTATGTTTAATTATGTTCAGAAGACATCAGTAGCACAGTGCATCTGTGAATTCCTGTCCAAGTTCCATGTGATTTTGATTTCCCCAGCTCTGATCTACTTGGCAACTTGGTACCATTACACTCCACTCTTCATGTCAAGCTCCTGATGATTTTGTGTTTCATTAACGGTCAGGAATTCGTCACATGCTCCTGTTTGGTCATTTGACTGTTCTTTATGAACCAAGTGCACCATTTCTTGTGATTTGCTGACATCTCCATTTAATCCACTTGTCTTCCTGTCCTCCACTGCCCCTTTGCCATTGTTAATCACTAGCTTTTTCTTCTGCCCACATCTAGAAAGAAATAAAAAGAAAATAAGTACTAGAAATGGAGACTAACAGAAATAAGAAAAAAATTGAAAGTCAGTATTTAGGAAAAGGTGTTTGGAAATGAAACTTGTGTCTGCCAGTGCAGACTTATACAATGCAAAGTATAAAGTTTTTCCATATTGCATATTGTATTTTTTAAAGCATCCACCATTATCTGCATAAAATTTGGCAGGAGCTCACTTATTCGATTTGTATCTATCATTACTACAGATAGGAATCACATTCATTACTGAAAGCTAGAAAAGATTTTCTAACATTTGGATATATCCACATTTATGAACTTTGTATATATCCCACTATAAGGACAGCGTCATTCTAAATCCAGACTTGGGACAACACCTTTGAAAATGCTCAAGTTCTTGAGATAGCAGAAAATTTGGATCAAGCTCTCACCTCATTATACGAGATAACTTTTTCCTTCTTTGTATTAGCATGTATGGGAAAATAATGGAAGATTGGCGAGGAGGACTGTAAACACACTCAAGTGACTTGCAGCTGGGGTGTCGAAACACCCATATATCATACTAATTGTTGTTTGGCCTTGTGTGTTGGACAAGTAGAACATCTGTGTTTAGATAACATAGGCCTGTGATAAGACTTAGAGGCACCCTATCGACCATGCTTGAAATTCCTGCCCTGCTGTGGGAAAGATCAAAGCAGAGTGGTAAACTACGCCTGTGGGAATCTCTGAAATACAGGCAAAACCAGCAGGTTCGGTAATCCTCTAGCAAGGATCGAGCTCTGCGGTGCCTGCTTCTCCACTTGTGTGCTTCTGCCCGGGTGCTGCTTCGGGGATCCCCTGGTTGGCAAGGTAACAAAAATAAGTTTACTCTTTGCATTGCATCCGTGGTTTTGTGGTTGTTTCTGCATCCTGCCTGTGCCAGCTCACACACCATGTCAGGCCTAGAAGCCTGCCAACAGCAAGGAAATATGGAGAACTACTTTTGCTACTATCAACAGCATACCTCCTTATGATATTAAAGTAGGAAATAGCTACTGTGCTTTTAAAGTTACACTCACTGCAGTGCTGCGCAATAAACTCTGTATGTAGCTCTGAATGAACACACACATGCACACTCTCTTTTAAAAAGTCACCAGCCCAAAACGAAAGCATGCTGGTCAACATGGGCTGGGTATTCTTCAGGGTAGTAAAAAAGTACTAGTTACACAGCTGTCAGATTTGCCCCAGACTGTTAAGATGGTTCTTTGGCTACACAGTGCTGAACATCCCAGTGTTGTCCTCGAACAGCCTTGTGTAAACTGAATATACAAAGCACAGCTTTCTTAAGAGGGACAATGTCTCTGTGAAGTTGTACTTTAAAGTGCTTTCTTCTTAAATGAAGCATATTTTGCCTGAATGACTAATTTGGCAGTTTAATTATACTATTATCCTTCTGAAATATTACTTTTTTCATGCTTACTGACCGATAGATGAGGGTTATTTTATCTGAAGTAGCTCAGTTCGCTGTGCTAGTTACACACACCCTTGGGAATGATACCTGCTCTGCCGCCATGAAATGCCGAAAGAGGCCAGCGAGGCGCTGTGGAGCTCCGCAGCCTCTCAAAAGAGCAGCTCAGAGTGTCTTTCCTGATGTGATGGTCAGACTGGGCAGCATCTTCTGTTGGACTCTGGAAGGAGATCCTAACTCTTTTTACAACAGGCACCAGATGGAGGCAGTCTTCTTTGCAACAAGAGGAATAACTAACTAACTAAATAGGACCACACTGAACCTGGGCCATTTGTTTTTTGGTTAAGATAACTTATGACAACACCAATTAAAAAAAAAAAAAAAAGGAAATACTTTGCCATTTGCCAAGCAATTTGCTATTTACTGAGAAGGCCCAATTGCTTGTTTGAAATACTTGAAATCTCTGCCATACTGACCTCCTAACTAGAAAGGCTAAATCTATTGATTTCTGAATCAGGAAGTTAACTACCTTGAAACTAAGGCCTACACTTCATTAGGCTTTTTCAGACAACCCGAATGAGACTGAAACTGGAGCTGCTGCAGTTAGCATTCGTTTAAAAAATGGTGTAACTGACAGGATTACACAAATAAAACCACAGATCATTTTCACTTTTCAAATAAATTAATGCTTGAAATGTTCTCAACTTACTGCTCAGCTAACACTGAAATGCTCAATCCTCCTTTCTCAGCTATCCAGTTCTCTCATAGAACTGCTGCAGTGTTAGTTTCGGATTAGTTGGCATTCACGTGCACTGTGCTGACTGCACAGCAACTACCTCTTTATGAATTTTCAGCTTATTAGCACTTAGCAGAATAGATGAAAAAAGGGTTCTTGACTTATTCATGTTATCATTTGTATCCTGCTAAAGTGAAAGAAAAAATTCCATTTGTTTCAAGCATACCAGAGTACATCTCTGCTTCAAAAAGTTTTCCTCACAGTGATTAACACATATTACTAGGGTCTAATCCATGCATTAGTACACATACATGCACCCACATGCACTTTCTTTCTTTGTGACTCACTCCCAGCTGCATGGAAGCTCTAAGTAAAAGATATGGTTTCCATTAATGGTATCTAGTGCATAATTTACAGCTCTGAGATTGTTTCATTTCTTGTCAGATGCAATCTATAATTAGCCATAGTGGCCCTGTTTGTCTGTTGCTATGGTGACTCTGTGTTAAGAGGGAGGAAACAATGGTAGTCTCTACTTTTAAAGGCGTAACAGAGTAACATATAAACATATAAATCAATAATCAAATTCAGGCTGTGTAACTCCAGAATCACTTCACAGAAAGAAAGTTGTAGAGTTTTCTGTCTCACCATGTGCTTGATAGCTTTCTTATTTCAACAGTTCTCTGATAATACTCTCAGAGAAGCACTGATACTCTGGATACAGTCATAAGGCAAACATACCAGGTGGCATCCCACTACTGACTTCAGCAAAACTGTATCAGTTTACTCTGTCTGACAATTTGGCATTTAGTTTGCACTGTTTTGTCTCATAGAAGCCTTCTGCATTATGGGCAGGGACTGCCTGCATTGCTCCCTCACCACGGTGTCAGTGCTTTATTCTAGCACCCACGCCACGCTTTGGAGGACCTTGACACTATTTCACAGAAGCATTAACATGTGCTTTCCTGCAACCAGCAGACTAGGAATAAATTTGCTCACTGCTTCCTGAACAAAAATCTCCACATATTATATGGTTACCCTGACAAAAAAAGTTCAAATTCAACATTCAAGTAGAAAATAGTTACTCTGTTAAAGGGTTCAACTTTAACATTCATGTAGCAAAAAGCTGTTTAAGACAATTGAGAATTAACCTCAGTATAGGCCCCAGAGAAAAGAAAGAGTTAAGAACATATAGCCTATTCTTTAGGCTACAGTTTTTTCAAATTTCCTGGCTAACTTTGCACAGATCACTGCAACTTTCTATTCCTCAGTTTCTTCATCTGTAAAGTGGAGTAAATAAAGCTATTGAGTGCTCTGATAGCAATGTTAGAATATACCCCTGTGACTGCCAGCTGTTATGGTGCCTTTTCTTTGGAAGGAGCAAATAAATCCTGTGACAGCGATTGTCTAATACAGCCCTTCACACTGTACACAGACAACACTGTTAATGATGAAGGATTATAGTCAGCTCATGCTGTGGTTGCTACTGTCTATGTCCATCTCACATAGTTTTAACTCTCAGTGGACAGAATTATCCTATTAATAAGTAATAGGTAGAGAATAATCTACGATCTGTGATCTATATACAGTTAGTTTCCATCTACAAGTAAAGACCAAATGGTTTATACAGCTACTGACTTCACGTGGTTCCACGTGAGTGTGAAGGCTGATGTGTGACCTGTGCAGGACACGGTGACTGGGCCCTCACACCCCAAGTCACAGAGCTTCGCAGAGGAAGCTCTTTCCTGTGTTATGCTACTCTGCTCTTTCAAAAAGCTTTGAAGCCTCTCGATGAAGAAAATAGCAAGGCAGTGTGTTTTGAAAAAGTAAAGGGGCTACCTTACCTTCTCCGACTGTTAACAGCAATGCACACTGCAAGAATCAATGCAAGTGCCACAAGAGCGGCAACTATGATCAGCCATTCTGTGGGGAGAGTTGAGGGGAGGAGAGTGTGTTAACATATTTCATGTAGTTTTGCCACTTTGCAGAACTGCAGGAACACAACAAGCTCTTTTACATTCTTTAAACTGTCAGACTTTTTTCCTAGCTTGCATGAATGTTTGTTTGTTTTACAAAGTGCTTCTGTGCAAATCGAATACATTTTCATCATTCAGCTATACACAGGCCAACTCAGATGAAATAGCCCATCACTGTTAGCACCTATCAGCACTGTACTTTGGTGGGCATAGGTGAAGAGGAGTTGTATCACTGATTTACTCCAAAAGCAAAAGAAAAGGCTTAGCAATGATACACCTGCAATTCCAGACACAAAAGCAGGATGACTTTCAGGTAGAGTGAAATGTTCATTTTTTAATTTAAAATCTTAATTTAAGGGGTATTTTTGGGGCAAACTCTAAGAAAAAAAAGAACTACAAAACTGGAAGGGACCCTAAGAGGTCATATCAGCTACCTTTCACTCCAGTGAAACAGGGTCAATAAGAAGATGGCTGAGGAATATTCCATTTGCTCTTAACATTTTTAGTAAAGGAGATTTCACAACCTTCCCAGTAGCCTATTCTTTATGCTGTACTACCATTATAGACAGAGATCCTCTCCTAAGAGCTAACTCCTTTATTTTGTTTGTTTGAAACAAGTTTCCCTTGTTTAACAAGTCTCCTATGTTTCATTTGAAACAAATTACTTCTTCTAATTAGTTAATTATTGTTACTCCATGGTGAAAAACTGATAAGCATTCTTTTTGTAGCATACTCTTCTCATATCTCCCTTCAGTTTTCTCTGAAAATAATGAGTTCTTCAAAAGGTGCTTCAAAGGTTACATTTCCAAAATTTTCTTTGTGCCCTTCTCTGTTTTTTTTTTTTTTCTATGTCATTAATGCAATGCCTTGAACCGAACACAGAGCTTCAGCTCTGGACTTGCTAGGCCTAAGCAGAGTGGGATAATTACTTTCTCTGCTTTAAAAATGACTTTCCTGTTAATATGTCCCAGAATATATTTGCATTCTTTTGCAACTGTATCATGGTGTTGGCTTCTTTCTACTCCATTTTAATCTGCAAGCCCTATTCTGCAACACTCATCTCAGCTATTATTTTCACCGAACACTCTCATGCGTATGATACTTTGCATATAGCCTTACTAAATTTTGCCTGATTTCATATTAATTTATTAAGGTTATTTGAATCTTAATCCCATTCTCCAAATGCATGATTTCTCTCATCTTGATATTGCTAGAAAATTATGAGTTACAATATGCTCCATTTTTCAGACTACTAGTGAAAATGCTGAATATTATCTGATTCAGAACAAAGCCTGAACAACTGTACTTGACCTACATTTTCATCTCTTACTTCAGTTCATATTAATACAATTCTGTGCTTAAACTGTTAAAACATATGGCTTCAAAAACCTACCTGGTACCTGGGCCGACCTTGGTTGTGAAACTATTTTTGTTGTTGTGGTCTCTCCAGGGAAAGTAGTGGATTCATCATGTCCCTTGTGTGGTCCTTGATTACCATATATACTGGAGGTAGATCCTAAAGAACAAAACTATCTGTTAGGCCAAATATGCTTAGTGAATATATAACAGCGAGCTACAAAGACTATGACTTTCACAATTAAAAAACCATATTCTAGAAAGTTCATGCTGAGGTCATTAAAAAGTATTTATACTGAAAACGATTACATAGACTATAATCATCATACTCACCTGAACTACGGCTAGTTTTAGTTTTATTATTTTGAATAACAAAACTCATGGTTTTCCCCTCTTGTCCCTCTTACATGCTTCAGTTTTGATTATGCTATACTTTCATGAACCAAAATGCAATTATAATTGCCTAGAAATTTTCCGGAGAAAATGTAAAGGCCTGTGAATGTTGGCAACTTTTTGAAGAGGTTTTTGTCATACAAGTCAAACATCTTGTTTGTTCCATGTGGAAAAGAGAGTGAGAAAAGAAGAAGGAGAAGAGAAAAAAAAAAGTACTTTTACTTTTTTATTTAAACCTAAAATGACTAATATGGAGAAATTTTGAAACTTTTAATTTTATTCCTACACAGGTTAAAACTGAATTTCTAAAACGCTAATCTGAAACTCTAAAAATCTAAAATGCTTCCATAAAAATAGAAGGATAGTTCTCTGAATGGTTTTAAATTTCATAGCTATGCATAGAGTGGAACTTTAAAAATTCAAATTATTTTTCCTAATAGAAAAAATGCTCTCTGTAAATTTAGAGGTGGATCCCCTTGTCCTTTTTTAATAAGTTGTGCAATTTGGTTCTAAGACGGTATTAGATTTTAAATCAAAATGCATACTTCCAGTCTCAAGTATTTTCTATGCTGGCCATACTGCTTGAAATTTTATTCAATTACATTTCTGGCCCACGCTGTTGCCATATGGGTATCCCAAGTCTAAAATTACCAGCAGACTATAGATATAGTGATTTAATTTGGGGCTACTACTTCATTATCACTACAAAAAAGATATTACAGATCTCCACCACTCTGAATTCTTCCAGACTCTAATAGAGCAAATTAAGCACTTACTCTAATCAGCTGTAAAGTTCTTTTTCTTTAACACACATTGCAACTCATTTCTAGCCAGCATTTCTGATCTCATTTCCTAGTAGCAGCTGGCAAACACAAAACTGAGAAGCACATTTTTTTCCCTCTGTTAAGCTTAGCCAGCAAGTAGTTCATGAATCTTCCAGATGTTTTCATTATTTTTATTAACAAGAAAGTTATTGACTGGTGAGTTGTTTTGTGCTATCTCACCACAGAGGACAGAGCACTAATTCAGCAACTAAGGTCCTGATCTAGCCTCCAAGAAAGCTGACCAAGAGGAACATACTCACTTGTCTACCCTACATCTCAGCAGATTTTTTTTTTTAAGGTGCTTTATATCATCCGTGAGAAACATCAGAGCTTTTCCACCACAAAGCCCCTTAGAAAGGCATGCAGACATTTATTAAAATTAGGGTGTTTCGAGAACTGCTAAATTCACCCTTCCCCTCCCCTGCGCACTGAGAAGCAGCAGCAGGATTCAGTCATGTCCCCTGCTGTTCTGGCTCTGGGGAGGTGCTTGCAAGTGGCAGGGAGGGATCCTCATAAGCTCTCTACATTTCATTTTGATGATATACTAGATTTTTTTCTTTTTCACAGTTATTTTTTGGGTTCCTTCAGTGGACTGATTTGTTATTCCATGGACACTTTGACAACAGATCAGTCATTAGTGTGATGTCAGACCACAGCTTAAACATTGCTGTACAGAAAGAGCAAGTGAAACAAAGTAGCATAGTACATCAAGCCATTCATTTGTTCAGAAAAAAGCCTGTAACTATAGTCTGCCAATACATTCATGAATCTTTTCCATTCCATTACAGCTATATGGGGCAATGTTACAAATGAATGAATGCATCAATAAATAAACTTTTTTATGATGATGGTAGTGTCCTAGTAATTCCCTTGTATTGTGTTTTTAAAAAGCACCAGGAGAAGGTAAATGAAAAAAGGAAGAGTTTTGGGAATATGGGCTTATGAGCCTTTGCCAGGGCACTGACAATGCAAAGATTTGATGCAGACATTCACTTTGAAAATGATCTTCAAACCAGTTCTTACAGGTTTTATGTGCTCAAAACAGAAAGGTAGCAAACATTTTTTCATGTTGTGTAATGTCTGCACATAAAATTAAGGAGGCAGCTTGGATTAATTAAGTAAATAGGGCAGCAAAAGCAAAGAAATGAGTTTGTTGTAGTAGGAAACCATTATTAAAAATAGATTTATCTTTCCAATAAAATTCTATCAAATACATATTTTGCATTTATATTTCTGTGCCTATGTCAAAATACTATAACTCAGGCAATTTTGATAGGGTTGATTTTGCTGGGTTTATATAAAATTCCGAAAAAAAAAAGGAGGCCGAATTCTACCTGACAATGTATGAATTAACAATTAATTAATAACAGAATTATCTTTAAAGTGTTTGCTGTATAATGCTATAAAAATATAGGTACATAATCTTGCTTATGTGCAAAGAATGTCCACAGAGCATTGGCCAAAATCTACCCTGGGATGGTTCCACCAACTTCCAAGAAACTGCATAAAAATAGTATTTGGATTAGTGTGCATGAGAAGTAGCATTTGGAAAAAAACCTTACTGTTAGGATGATTGTTTGTATGGAAACTGCTTTTGGGAATAAGGAAAAGTCCCTTCATTTCCTGTACTCTTAGCATGTGACCACACATAAAAAAAAAAGAAAGGCTGTATGTAGTGTAATAAGTAAACACTGTTACTGTTAACTTCACTACCTCTATCAGAAGAATAAACCTTTAAAAAAAAAAGTTGTTCACAAAAGAAATGTCAGTTACAGCCCAGTAACATAGCTATAAGTAATCACTGGCAAGATACCAACAACAAATACACCTAGAAAAAAAGGTTTCACAGAGAATTACCTTTCTTTTGATACATATTCAATTAGTGCAGAGGGAATATGTATAGGGGGAAAAATGACAGACAGTTAAGCGTTACATAGCTATCATTTGTGCCCAGCAAAAAAGAAAGAGAAAATCCTATCGTGTATGCATGGGCAGGAGGAGAAAGTTTACTTGTTCACTTTAATAGTTGTGTTACCACATACAGATAACAGAATATAAGAAAAGGTTATTTGCAAATCACTATTTTCAGCCTTTTTGCAAATGTCCTCTGCTTTGCACAGGAAGAGATTCCCTTTAACGACATCTTATAAGCAGGTCATAAACAATAATAATAAACAAAAAGGAAATAATAATATGACAATAAATTACAATTATGGTTAGTACACCTGTTTTTGGATGATAGCCATTCTCTAAAATACTAACTGACTGATGGATAAATGAAAATGCTCATAATTTGTAGTTCTTACTAGTAGGAAGAGGGGTCTGCAATTGGTTAAGATGATCTTCAATGTCTGGAAAAACTCCAGGTGTCAAAGTGACATGGGAACCGTCTGTGGTGTTTGCTTGTTCACTTTCACTTCCAGGTGGAGTGCCAGGTGCCAGTGGCTCCTTGGTTGCTTTCTCTCGGTTAACATCGTCCACAGACGCTGTGACTGCTATGATGACGTCATGATCAGCTTTAAAAGTGAGCGCTCACAAAACCACCACCCACATTATTTCCCTCTTTCCTGTACCACAGCAAGCCAGAAAGCACGTCCATCCTCCTCATTCAAAGCACAGAAGGAGAGAAGACATGAAGGCCTCCCCTTCTTCTTCCACTCTGTCACTGGCTTCTGAGCAACCCTTAAGCACCACATACATGCTCACCATGTTGGAGGGAGATGTTGGCTACATATACAGATCCCAGTGACAGATGGAGAGGGAAGACCTTCAGAAGAAGAGACCACAGCAGCAACAACCTGACCCTGTTACTCAGGAGCGAGCATCCATACTGCAGCCAGATCTGTGGCGGTCTTGCCTGGCAATCCACCAGTGAGCAGGAGTAAGGATTGGAAGGCAGAACTTATGGGATGTAATTCTTCTATGATTTCCCTGCCCTCACCACCAGGACAGCAATCCCTGGTGATGGTGCTGCTGCTGAGTCACAGGAGCAAGCCATCTGATTAACCCACCAGAGCACCTCCACCACACCAGTCATGGTGCCAAAGCATATCAAGCCTGATCCCACTGATGCACAAGAAAGGAAGATGGGGCTGGAGATTCAGAATCACCAAAGTGCGTGTCTTGCAGAACAGTCAGGAGGTCACCCAGAAACATGCTTCAGCAAAGGACAGAAACCGCCAAGTGTACCAGCGAGGAGTCCCTTATGCCTTGTCCAGAAGGTAATTCTATCAACAGCACAGATCCCACCACAGATTTTTGCACTGCAAGTCCACACCGAGAATGGAGACCCCCAGGATGAGAAAGATAGGGAAAGGAGTCAATTTCAGAAGAAACAATGTCTCATTTCACACCAGGCATGAGAAATGAGTATGATCCATTATTCTTACTGGTACCCATCAGAGGAGAGTCATCACCAGCTTTGTTTGTACTAGCTGTGGTCCTGTGGAGGACCTCATCCCCAGGGGCATCTGTGGGATGTGCAATGCCATCAGTGCCCTGTCCTGGTTCATTATCTGAAGGCAGGGGTGGCTGAGTTGGGTCTTCGTGGTGGGCACCATCAAGAGAGGCAACAGCTGTTACCACAACGATTTAATCAGCTGTGAATTCCATGTGTGTGCTGCCATGCCCCTCCCATTCCCACCATGTTCAAGTCTCCTGTTCACTTTAAACCACTGCTACCCTTTTCTCACCACAAAAGGGGAAGAGAAGGGAAACCTTCTGTGCTCCTGTACATCATCACTGCTCTCTCAGTGTATTGATCAGACATTTTCATTTGCTATTCTCATCCACTTTTTTTACTTAATCCAAAAGATTCCCAAGGACAGTGGACACAGGGAAAGGACATAGGGAGAGTCAGGGAGAATTCCCTGAACTGCATCCCAGGCTGACCACAGATCCTCAGCTTCAGGGACACTGCCAAGTGCTGCTACAGTGTGTTTTA